TAGAATGGAGCCTCGTGTGGACAGCGGAGTCGAGTGCGCAGAACAGAGAGAGGAGAGTGGAGCGTGGCAGAGAGGTTTCTGACGAATTCAAAGTGCTTAGAGTCCCACTAGAAAGGTTTGAGAGGCCCGTTGCGGAGGATTTTATTTGCCCCTTGAAGATATTTCAAGTCTTGAAAAGTACCAAAGGCCCCTTCTGGAGAGGTTGAACTGTGCTGCAAATCCTGTCGTGTGTGATCCATGCGAATTACACGTCTCCTGTCCGCATTTCTCACGCTCTTTCTTCTTCTTTTTGCTAAACGCAGCCCGAAAACTGTGCGGGTTAGGCCCACAACACAGGGTCCCTTTACAGAGCGAAAGTTACGTGGAGGGAGTTTTGCGGAGGACGTATTGAACGCTGCCCATCCCCCCCCTCTTCTTGTACCCCCTACTTAGTCTTCTCCCTCAACCCCCACTTAATATGCATCCTTGCATCCTCTGTCCATTGAATTCAAAAAAATATGAGCCGAGGAAGGGTTAACAGTTGATTTGCAAGATCTCTTCTCCCCCTTTTGCATCAACAGTCCCCACATCTCAGGTCTCAGTCTTAAAAGTAAACGTCCTTCCCATTCTGTTCATCTCCCCATTTTCCTGGGCGACCTTTTGAGTGAGGCTTTGCTCTAGACAGCGATGTACATGGGTGTCATTGGGAGGTGAGTCACCAGACGCTCTTCTGGAATCGCAGCCCGCTGGCAGCATTGTGTTTCAAAAGTGAAGCTAGGCATCCGATCAACTGAATTGGGTGCAGGAGAAGAGAGTCATTAGGGGGGGGCAAGAAGCGATTTTTGATGCGAACTGGGGGAACAGAGAGGCAAGCTTTACTAGGATTTGCCAGAGATACTGTCACTGAGCCGACCAGTGGTGGAGACAGCGTGTGTGAGTTCGGCAAATAAGGGTTACTGAGACAACCTTGTACAGCAAGGCTGTGGAATCAGTGACATCACTGCGATGGCCTTGGCACCCAAGTAAGTAACGAGGAATAAGGGAATATGACCCCTATATAATCCCTACATAACCCTTAAGTAGTGACTAGTGATCCTGAGGAAGGCTAGAGTGTAATTACGCTGGGAGGTATCTAGCTTGATCTCTGCTTTTGCGTTGGCGAAGCCCAAAGGGGAGTCAAGGGAATAACGCCGAATGCATCCATCTTGTGATTGGAGCTGCTGATGTCAGGGACGCAGTGATATGCTGCCTGTGCATCGGGGGAGCATTCGACAGGCAACAAAACGATGCAATGAGTATCATGGCGGTGATTACTTAAGTCCTGCGAACACAATTGGTTCCTAGGAGACCAGGCACTAGACGGCTAGGAAAGCCACAGTTGCCTAGCTGAGAGTGGGGGTGTAGTCTGAATTGTTTTTGTTGCCGTGCTTCATGGACTATGCGCAGCCCTCCCCGCTTGAGTGTCACATCCACCTAAAGAAGGGACCAGGAAGGCAGGGAAGGGCCCGAGGGAGCCGTACTTGAGCCCCTAAACCCTAAACCTCTCTCTCTTCTTCTTCTTCTTCTGTCAAGGCTCTGGAGGCCGCGCCCCGGTCCCCTCTGGCTTCGTTTCAGTTAGACACTGGAGGAATGGAATGTCAAACAAAAAGAAAGCCATCTCCTCTGGTCTGCATCCACTTACTGGTCCTTTCACCTGGCTCCCTCCATAACAACATGAGACCAGATTGCGTTCTCAGGCGAGCTTTGAAGTTCTTGCCCCGGGAGGTTTTTACCGCCTTGTGGCTTCCAAGTTCGTGCAACACCCCGTTCAGAGCAACACTATCACGGGTGTCAACGGGAGAAAGGACGCACCGAAACACGACATGGTAGGGTACCACAGAATCATCCTTATCCATTTTTCAGATGTTTGTCAAAATGCCTTGTGTTACAGTGTAGCCGTGTAGCCATTTATCCTTACTTGTGATCTTGGAGGGTTTGCTCGTGACGTGCGCACGTGAAAAATCAAAATTCACCAGTGGTTTCCTGTCTAAAATGTTACTTACCTTCTTACACCCCTGGCTTTACTTCTTCCTGCCTTTCACCCAGCACGCTGCCTATCCACTGTAAAATACGTGCCAACACCTGCAGTAAGACAGGCTTTACTTTCAGCAAAAGGTTTCAGGCTCATCCCGAGCCCAGTCCTCTGCAAGCTGGTCTAAGCGCTGCAATTGCAGAGTCCTGCTATGCTGCATACATCTAAACAAGCAGCAGCGCGGTTGGGCACATTTGGGCCCCTGTCCTCTTCTCTCTCTGCTTTCCCCGCCGATAGATTGAGACATCACCTGGAAGTTTCTCTAAATTGCTGTTCCCAAAATGGGGGAAACTTATATAGGGCCCCGTATTATAATAGGAAAATATAGGACCCCGTATTGACAGTAATTTAGGACAATCCCCACCTGCCAGGGGGATAGCATCCACTGCGAGGCCGTTCTCTCCTGGGTGCAGGGCAAAGGATACACCACATAAATGGTAGTTTCCCTAAATAGGGGGACCCCAATATAGACCCCAATATACCATAATCCTTATTCTGGGAACCCCAAAAAAGGTACCCCTAATTTTGGGAACCTCCCAAATCACTTGGGGATCACACACAAAGGACTGTATGGCTAAAGAACGCGTGTAGCAATCTTGCAAACAGGGCTCCCAAAATTGCGACTTCAGGAATAGAAGGGTCAGGTTTGCTGATGGCCTCTATCTCCTGTGGGTTTTTCACCTCCAGTATGAGGTTGCCTGACTTTTGAGGAATCACGATGTCGATGATGGCATCATTTGCATCAGAGGCTGTCGCCGTGGACGCCGTTGCGTTCTGCACAGGCTGCACAGGCACCTCTGTCGTGAGATTCGGTTCTGTGGCGCTGGAGGCCGTCTGCGCCGCCTGCGCATCAGGCGAAGTCGATGCCGCCTCAGGCAGTGAGGGCGCTGAAGGCGCTGAAGTTGATGTTGAGGCCTCTGTGTTCTCCAAATTCTCCAACCCTCCCTCCTTGGAGGAGGGTTCTTTGGTCTTGGTCTCGGTCTCCTCGGTCTCCGGTGCTTGCTCCGATGAATCGTTCGTGGAAGCATTTGCTTCATTTGGCTCCTCGTCGAGCTCTGTGCCCGTCTGAGTGAACTGCTCAGGCTGCTCGCCCTGCTCGTGGGTTTTGTTCTGCGTGGCCTCTGAGGCTGTGGAGCTTTCGGCTGCTTGCTCCGAGGGCAAGGCTTTGACAATCGGCGCATCCTGCGATGCTTCCTTGCGCTCCATGCTAAGGATCTGCTGCGGCACACCCTGCGACAGCAAGGTATCTGCCTCCTGGATTGCTGATGCTGCGCGAGATGCCTGAGATGCACGAGCTGCAGCGTGGACTTCATCTGCTTCCGCCGTCTTGGCGAACCCCAGAGTTGGCGACTTCTTTGGTGTCCAACCCATCATCCACTCCGTTCCAGGTGCAAAGGTGATTGAAGCTACAGACGGCAGTTCCTGACCAGCAGGATGTTGACACGAAAGCGACTAACTTTCTAACAGTGAACTCAGAGTATGGCACACTCCTGTAGCATCAAAAACCGCAGCGTCCAAAACGCGTCTTTGAAACATTTTGGTGGGTTGAAATGTTTAGATGGTTTCAGGGTGGTTTGACAGTTTGACCATCCAGAATCCAGGCCAAGGAACTCGTTGGAGAAGACCCGCTGGAGTTCCTGGAGGTGTCCTGAAGCACGGCTTCGCGGCTGACGCGGCAATTTGGCAACAGAGTTCCCAAAAAAGTGAATTCGAAGGCCCCTTGCGAGCTGCGGCTCACCTCTGCAGCAAGGATGAGACCTCGCACGCCTCGGAAGCCTCGCAAACTGGTGCAGAGTACTCTTCAATCGCTTCTGAATGCTTCCGCCTGGGCAGAGGAGACGGTGGAGAGCCATAGCCAACAAAGTGTATTTCTCATGAAGGGCGTGAGTAAGTAGGAGTTGAACAGCGCCGGCCCTCTAGATTCTAGAATCTGAGTTGCTTCCAGCCAGATCTGCTCAACTCCCTGGTAGGGTTCAGTGTCCGCAGCTCCGGGCCAAGTAGAGCCAGCACATGGATGCAGTGTCGCGCCAAGGCCAAGTTAGAAGGGTGCTCGAATCTGCCAGATGCAAACTGCTGCAAGCTGCTTCAACTGGTGCCCTCCTTAGCGGGCGCCAGCTGCTGCGTCCGGGTCAGCGCATTCCTGAAAACTCTCGTACCCCCCTACTCTGCCACAAGTTGCCTCGCTGCCTAACTCCCATGTGTTCATCATGTGAGTCTTGCTGAAGCTTAGGGTGCCGTCTACACGTCATTGCACGTCTGCAAGTCGAGCCGCAGCAAGGAGCTCTTGCCCACATTGGAGGCACCGATGAAGGCCACCTACGGCTTTCAATGCACTTCAAGCTTCAGGAGTTAGATACCACTATACTCCACTTCAGGAGTTATCTGAAACTCGCATTTCGCAAATCCCTTCTTCTTGTCAGAGGCGGCCAGAGGCAGCCTCTGGCCGTTCGGCCAAAGGGAAGCCGGCCATCCCAGGTTTCCCCGTGGGGTGGCACCTGGCCCTCTGCCTTGGGCTTTGAGGCTCAAAACATCGCAAAAGCATCGCATGGGCTTCGCTGGGCCACGGGCCGCAGGAATCCCTGGCAAGCTCCACACCAAAAAGGTTTCCTCGAGATATCTCATGGCCTTGTGCACGGCGATGGCCATGCGCCCCAGCGTGTCGCCTGACAGACAGGCTGCCCCCCTTTTTTCAAAAGCAGAGTACTGTTACTGCACGCCTCGCCCGTCGTCCACTGCACCTAACCAGATGCAGCGTTTAGAACTCCGCCTTCCCTAAACCCTGCCTTGGCAAGTTCCCCTCGCCGCCTTGCCGCCCGTCGTGGGCCGGATCCGAGCCGGCGAAGATCGCCGGGCGGTGCTGCCCTCGCTTCAGCCTTTAAGAGCATAACATAGCACACATCCCACGCTATCTCATGCTGCTTCGCTTTCACAGAAAGTAGCCTTGGGAGCTTCAAGTTCCCCAGCTGGTGCAGCGCGATGAACTCCTGAGATGCAGAGATGCTCAGAGAACCTCAGAGAAGGAATCCGACTCAAGACAGGAGCCTTGATGGCCTTCGGGGGCTCTGCGTGCGCCCTCCTGGGACGCGGGAAACGCCGGACACGCCGGGAGAGCTGGGAGCGAAAGGTCTTGCTTTCTCTCTGCCTCTTCCTGAAGAAGCCCGGCAAGGGAATGCCCTCGCATCAGAAGACTCAGTCAGGATTACGGGGCATCTAAGTAGCTTCCACCCTTTCGCCTCGTCTGAGCCCGCGTTGGCAGCAGGGTCAGCTGACCAGCCAGCTTCATCCCAGCTACCCCAGTCCTGGAAACTGCACACACTGAGCACAGCTAAGCACTAAAGGGATTCAGCCGGCACAGTGCCTCTGCTGCCAGCCGGGCTTTCTCCAAGACATTAAGCCCCGGGTTGTCTGGCAGAAAGTGTGCACAGTGTGGCAAAGCAAAGAAGCTTACTTTTTGAGGGGCCCGGGCTCCAATCCAGCGGCTCGGCCAAGGACGCTTCGCGGTTTGGGTTTGGGGGGCCTGGAAGCGCAGGGAGGAGATGGGAGAGGGACAGCAAAGGAAGGGACGACCTTTTGGACCCAGACTTCTGCTCCTGCTGGAGGTGGCCCCACCCTTTTGCTCGCTTCTGTGCTCCTGAGTCATGAGTTGTTCACAAAGATGCCAAAGCCTCTTCTAGCGGTCCATCTCCAAGGCCGAAGGGAAGACAGGCGATGGGCCACCGGGGACTGGTGCTGACCTGAATTCCGGTCACAGGACAAACGGGACAAGCGGCAGTGTGAATATTTAATATAACCCCAATATATTCCCTATCATCCCCATATAATCCCCATATAATCCCTGTAGTTTCCATTTTCTTTTCCATTAGTACCTATATAACCCCAACATATTTCCTATTATCCCTCTTTCTGAGGCAGTCAGGCCGCTCTTGAGACTCCTTGGTGGGAGCAGTCTGCAGCCCTTGTAGCCAACGCCGTCTTTGCTCCCGCTTCTCCTGGACAGGAATGCTTCTCCCCTGAGCCGCTTGAGCCTTGTGCCCAAGTTCTTGTGCTTTTCGCCTCTCTCTTGCGGAAGGTGCTGAGTTCGGAGGCTCCCGAAGTGCAGGAAGCTCGTCTGCTGAGCCTCATGGGATCAGGCTTCAGCATAAAAGCGTCGCGGTGTCGCGACTGCCTTTGAGGCTGTGGCTGCCGGAAGGCCAAGGCTTTCTTGGAGAAAGCCAGCAAGACCAATGCTTGAAATGCTCCAACCTCAGCTATGCTCAAAGTTCTCTTCGCTGCCTTCTTCTCCCCTTTCTCCTGAGGCTTCAGACCCTTGAGCTGTTCGAGCTGTCGAAGTTATAGTTGCTAAGCCGCAAAGGGGCCCGTGGCTGAGCCCCGTGAGCCGGGTGATGAAGCCACCTCCTGCATGGAGCACCAGCTGAACCGCTGACCAGCTGACAACAAAAAAAACACAGCTCTAAATCCACAAAACCATCTCACAACACTTCAAGAACTCTTCTTCTTCAAGAACTCTTCTTGACTCCGCCTTGGAAGAGCTGGAAGAGCTGCTGGAAGAGCTGCCGGCGCCGGCGCCGGCGCCGCTGGCGGTTTCGCCTCCATGGCAGCGCGCGCAGCGAAGAGAGACCTTCGTAACCTTCGTCTCTGAGCCGAGCTTTTCGTCTCTTCGAAGCAGTGCTTAGCACACTTGCGGAGCTTCAGAAGGTTTGCAGGTGCACCGTTTGCGATTTCTTGAGTCTCACCGCGCTTCTCCGCTTGCAGCTCTGGTTTGAAACGCAGGGCTTGGCAACTTTCGCGCCAAGCCAACCAGAGTGAAAAAGAGAAGCTGTCGACTCTAGACTCTCTGAACTCTCTAGACTCTAGACATTTCGAAAGACCATTCATGAAGCCTTCACAGATCCGGCAGGGCGGAGCTGCGTATAGCTGGTCACGTGGCCGTCTTCAACGACGGCCACGCCGGCTGGGCCTGTTGGACCCCTTCCTGCAAGCTTTGAAAAACATGCTTGCTCGGCCAGTTTTGGAAAGGCAGTAGCACCAGTGTTTGGTGGATGATGCTCTCAGCACGGTTGTGGGCTACATAGAAGTCAAGCCATCTCTCGCTGCAGAGCTTACAACGACGTGATTTCAATGTCCTCAGAACTTGCATGTGGCGCGTTCAACAAAATGAATGTGCCATTTGTGTGTGCATGTCTGTCAGAGTGATGTGAACGCAAGCGAAGTCACCGGAGCAAAACGGGCGGTGTTGAATGACCAGTAGCTGAGTAGCTGTAGCATTCAGAGCAAGTGGCAAACGGCATCCTATCAAAATGGCGCAATAGTGATTGTGACTCAACAATCGTTGCTGGACATGTGAGTTGTAAGGTTTCAGGGAACCCTTGCCTTGAGCGGCGATGGCTCTCCACCTGATGGCAAGCTCGCGATTCAAAGAGCATCTGGTTCGTAAGGCTACGGCTACGGGAAAAGATTCTCCACCGACACTGATTAAAAAGAAATCACTTTAACTGCGATCTGTGACGCTTTGGGATCAGCAAGGACAAGAAGATGGCCGCGCAACACATGGTCAGTACCATCTGCAGCAGCGCATAGGTCCAGCCGTAAGTCCCAGCGATCCGTAGGAGAACCATATGGGCCTCAGAGAAGCAGCTGACAACACCTTAAAGCTGGCCAAGGCCCAACACCCTAAATAGTAGTTTCCATTTTCTTTTCCATAATACCTATATAACCCCAACATACTATAGTAGTTTCCATTTTCTTTTCCATTATCCCTATATAACAATTTTCTAATCAAGGCCGTCTCTGCAAGCCTTTGAGGGTGGAAGGTCCCGCAGTCGGTTGGCTTTAGCCCTGGGGCCCTGGCCGGCATCATGCTACAAAACGAGGTCAGCCTAAGTGGAGCGAAATGCACACACATGCAAAGTCTACAGAAAGAAATCCCAACCCCAGCAAACCTGTAACACCCTCAGAACCGACCCTTAATTCCCCCCCTACGAAACGAAGTGAGCTGAAGCTGGAAGCTGGGATCTTGGCTCAAAGAAGCCAATGAGCGTGGCACACTCGGTGCCCATCAGATCAAAAGCGAAGAGGTTGGGCACCAGGTAATACGGAAACGCCTCGAAAAAGAAGACGAAACAAGGGAAGGAAGAACAAAAATCTCAAAAACTCATCTCCTTCCATTCATTCTCCGAAAAGTGCAAGTTCCGTGAACCGCTTCTTTTGACCGCTCCATCCAGGCCCCGGGCACAGCAGAAGGCCACCAGGAACCTGCAACGAAGCGCGAAGCGCGAAGCACAGCATCAAATTCCTCACTTTTAGCACTTTTCTCACTTTTCACTCTTTTCACTCATCTTCTGCGAGGCACAGGGAACTGGCCACGAGGACTGTGAAAATCTCTCCGGAAGCCTCACAAACGCAGAAGCGCATCTTTGCACAAAGGCCCAAAAAAACACCGCCCGTACGACTCGCACTTCGACTCACTTCGACTCACTTCCTTTTGCATGGGAACGTTGCCCACTTGCAGCCCGCTTGCGGCCCGGCGGCGGAGAGGAAAAGCAGCAAACCCAGCAGCAGGGCCGCCAGCACACTGCTTGCCACGTAAAGCTGCTCACGCTGATGGTGCTGCCTGGTTCAGAGGCTCCTCTCAGAGGGCTCCCTAACAAAAAAAGAAAAGTGTGGTGCTTTTTACTGGCAAGAGCCACGACATGTTTTGCTGAGGGCTGCTCAAGAGGTAGCCCCTCCAGGCATTCAAGAGCATGGCAGCTATGCCGCCACCTGCAAGAATTCCGCAGCCGTCAGCTCACAGCTCTGCACAGTCTGAAAGCAAACATTCACAGTCAGCTTTGCCTGGATAAACGCAGGACAAGACGACACTTTTGGATTTTGTGAGGCCCTGGAAGAGAAGCGGCATGAAATCATCGGCGTGCTGCACATGGCACAGGCAAGCAAAAGCTGCTGTCACCAGCCAGACTGCCGGCTCCTGCCGCAAGAACTCCAGAACGGCAGGAAAACTCTAAAACAAACTGTCCTGCAGTGCTTCTCGGATGCCTCGCATCGGCCGTTTTGCTGAGCTTGCCTAGGTCCATATGCCCTTGCTGTTCCTAGCGGATTGATTATTGATCTGAGCCTTGCCCGTGGACTTGGCAGAAAGGAGCCCTCGCATCACAAGCACAGCGAGGCCTCCAGCAGTCCACACTCACACAATGGGGTATAGTGCTTCCTGTGTCAGCGGATAAAGGCGAAAAACTCCTGAACTTCTGCCAGGTGAGAAAGACTACATAAACCCAGTCCAGCCTAAGCCATCTTGGAATTACAAGCAATTGGAGAAAGAAGGCCCAAAGACCACGAAAGCACAGTACCAAGTGAAGAATGTAGGGGTGTACCACGAAAAGTTTTTGCCTCTGCAATTCAGCCCAAATCTCAAAAGACGGTTTACGTTAATTCCAGCATTCTTCCACCAGATGGTGCGATTCACCGGCTAGCCTGCAAACACAAACACAGATTGCCAGCATTTGGTAACACCATGAATTCACTGGCACACTCACTGCTCGGTCTTGGAAGCCTTCGAACTCTGTTCAGGCGAGGCCTTACAAACAAAGTTTTCAGGCGCAAGGCACAAAGACATAGCTTACGCATCTTGCGTATCTTACGTGCGCCCTGATGAGTTCACGTGGTTTGGCTGTTTCAGTCATATCTCTTCGACTTCAGCAGCTTGCTAAAGACACGCCCTTCAAACACGCTTTGTGAAGACATGGCGTATATGACTCGTGGTCCATGCTCATGCCAACATTAGGGGCTTGGGCGCAGCCACCATTTTCAAGTTGTTTCACACAATTGCCATGCTTGGCTGGCTTTGCTAGCGCAGACATTCCAGAGGGGATTTGGGTCCAGAGCATTCATGCCCAAGCCAGCATGAGGTTCCCATAGCATCCACGTCGGTAGTAGAGCCCGCAGTAGCAGGGTCGGCAGCTAGAGCAACTCACTTCTAAATCTCTAGCAACATCAACATCTGCAGCACCTTTCTCTATATCTCTAATAACTTGCACGCAGCTATAACATGAGGCTGCAGAGCTGCTGTAGGTTGAATCTCCGCTCCGCGAATCAGCAATGTGTGTGAAGCGCTCCAAACAGTGTCCAGCGAGAACGAGATCAAGCCTTGACACCTTGTGCAAGAAACAACGTGATGAAAAGCGTGCACCACCACCCTAATTGGCACATGTTGAAAACGTGGCGCAAAAAAGGCAAGGAGACACTTGGGGAGATACTGCCTTTATGCAAAACAATGGAAGCAGCATGAGCTGAGAACTTCCTTTGCAGTTGCTGGCCGCATAGTTTTTTTTTAAAACCAACTCTTTTTAACCATCCACAACTGATCACGACAGAGCAACGCCTGACTAGTTGGTTATTTCAAGCAGCTTTCCTCTGGACAGCATTCTAAAATGCTAAGGTTCACCCCAACTCATTTAGCTTTCTGACATACATACCCAGCAAAGCGACGCACAACCAAATTTCGAGCATCAACCCTTTGTACCGCAAAGCTTGGAGAAATGCTAGAACGCTCCAACGACGGATTAAGCTAAGATCACATCATCGGCCAGAGCGCTCGCTTGCAAAAGGCTGAAAGCCACTTGCTAAGCTACGTTGTTGTTTCAGACTTTGTGCACCAAAGCTGTTGCTTCTTCAGGACAGCTGCGCAAGCGCCACCAAGTACCATACAAAGGGAGGTTGAGTTTGCTTGGATTTTTGATCGTATGCACTCGAATCGCCTTCGACTAGATCACTTCCACTCCCAGATTCCTGAGGCATCACCCAGAGAAGGTGCTCCGCACGTCAGTCGGTATACTCTTCATATGGCACAAAGCAGCAATGCTCGTCCAGCCTCCAGCAGCAAAGAGGACTTGTGCAGCCTCGCATTGCCCAGAAGCACGCTTTGCAGAAGGAACTTTGACTATAGTCTAATAGGGTTATACATATTATAATAGTTTCCATTCTATTTTCCATTATCCCAATATAACCCTAATATAATCCCGATATAACCCATTATATTGGCTCACAGGAACCCGCTTTAGTACTAGGTGCTGCGCACCTGCCAGGCGATTTGTCTCCAAGTGAAGCTTCGAAGAAGCACCTCGAAGAAAAGAACAGAAAAGAAAAGTGAAAAAGTGCAAAAAACACACACACACACAACCTCTTGGAACAAAAGAAAGCAACGATTCAACATTTAAGCTTTGGCCCAAAAGGCTCCGAAGAAGCCGCGGCCCAGGATGGCTCCACCCCGCGAAGCGAAGCCCAATGCCGAAACCGCCATGCCCTGAACAAAAATGCTCTGTTAATTCGTTTGTTTGTGGCAACCAGCTGCTTTTGACAAAGACGCTGAAATATGATCGCGTTCTAACCCGTAGCATGGAAGTTTAATAATTCTTCGGCATGCGCGTCCTGGTACTCATCCGGCACCAGCAGCTTCAGCGCCTGGCCAAGGATGCAAAAAATCTGTTTTGTAAGGCAGTGCAAAACAAGAAAGCGGAGAAAAAATGCTCTCTATCTCTCTCTAAGCGCCACGGCTCAAGTACATTAGTGGGTGAGAGAACAATTGTTTTGGAGCAGGATCGCGTTGACATAGCTGATTTTTTTTGCAGCCTCTTTCCTTTGAGCGTGCGGCCGCCAATTTGGCGAGGCCTTTCATCAATGCCCAACCTGCCTGGAGGAACAACAACGACTCTCCTGTCTCCCGAACCGTGCCGGATATGGAGTCTCGACTTTGCCATAAACACCTAGACCCTCCTCCTACCCTCTACTAGGGCCTAAGTACCTAGTATTAGGGACCAAAAATCCCCAATTAAGGGTACAAGGAAGGTAGTGGTAGGAGTTTCCATTTTCTTTTCCATTATCCCCATATTATAACCCCAATATATCCCCAATTGAAGGTACAAGGAGGGTCCTGGCAGTCTCTCTTTTTTTGGGCGCCTTCATCTCGGCTGGCCAACCAGCAGCGTAGCTGAACCGAATTAAGGCGGAGCCCGCCACGAAGGCAGCCTTCACAGAGCTCTTTTTCAGAATCTAACCACAATTGACAATATACTATACTAGTTTCCATTGTCTTTCCCATTATCTCAATATAACCTCAATGTAATATAGTAGTTTCCATCGTTTTAAGAATAGTTGCTTCCCCTCTGCTCACTCTGTGTGCCGTCTTTCGGTCCTGGGTCTGGGCTGTGGCCAGCGTCGCCACGCCCAAGCAACAACCTGACAAGGTCTGTACTCTGCGAAAACTGAGGCGGGCTTCTTGCGCTCCTCCCAGGGCCGTGCAAAGCCCAAACATCACGCCGAAACCTGGGAGATGCTGAGTGAACGTGCAGAATGCTACGTCTTGGCTTTCTGCCCTGGGGATCTTGCGGTCAATGCAAGGGCCGTGGACGCCGTAGCCCAGCGCCGCTGCAAGAGCTGCAAAGCCGAGCACGAAGCCACAGTCTTTGGTCTCCCAGACTTCCTCACGTGACAAAGCTGAGCTCTAACTTGCCAGCTGTCAGCTACTGAAACCAAGATATACAAGACAGCATGCACAGCGTTCAGCCGCAGCCTGTCCGCAACACCATAATCACCACAATCCAGACATTGACATGGTGATATGGAGGAGCAATGTGACACAAATGACTGGTTTACCTGTTAGCTGCAGGATCTGAGTCTTGATGCCATGAGGTCCCGTTCCGGTTAGGGACCTTCTCTTGAAGCAGCTAAGATCATGCATCATGACCATACAGCGACTCAAGAGTCTTGTGCACGCCAACTTAGGAACTACAACAATTCATCGGCTTAGCCTTCGGGGTTTACACCCCTGCTTCGGGCTTCGGGTGCAGCTTGCGTAGAAGGCCGTGCACGTCGCGTGCGTCGCCTCTGAGCTTGGTGTGCTCCGGATCACGTGTGGTCAGTGCCGCAGAACATTGCAGAAATTTACCAGGTGTGACGCTCGGGAGCCCAGGAAGTCGCCGGAAGCGTGGGCTGAAGGTGATGAGGTCCTCCCTGCGTCAACTCCATGACTTCTGCCGGATGTTGAAGCCCCTGAAGTCTTATAGGGTTCAGGATAGGGTTTTGCAAGGCGGAGACTGGTGACTTTCGCAAGCTTGCCCTGGCTGGGTGGTTGACTGAAACAAATTGCTACAATACTTACGGATGGTTGGTCCTCTAAGCTTCACGAGCCCGCTTTTGCCGGATTTTGTTGACGTCTCATCAATCTTAGAGCGTCATGGGATCTCCGTACCTCAAACGGTGCCAGCGTCTGCCCTGGGATGGAGGTTCATTGTGGTGGGACGAGCGTCGGTCAACCCTCTGCGGACCCATCTGAACGTCAGAGACTTTGGCTTTGCATCAGAGCGGGTCCGGGGTATGCGGGACGTCAATGGCTGAACGTTCGCAACGCCATGCAACGCCATGCAACGCCTAACGCCTGGGCTTCTGAAAGGATCCGGGGCGCCCTGAAAGTCGCCTTCGGCCTAAGTCCTCAGAGGTCCGTTTCCCGAAGCCCCAAACACTTAGGAAACTTGCACTTAGAAATTTTTGGCATCGGAAGCTTCATTTGAAGCATCTCCGAGCTCCTAAGAGCCCCCGGATTGGGGTTTGAGCCGCAGAGCAGGCGGTTTCGGGAGAGGGTGGTGATTCGAGGGTTTAGGGGTTTGGTGGAAAGCAGTGCTTTTGGCAGCTTTGCCTTGACTTTGCCTTTAAAACCTGGAGCCCCCCATTCCAGATTTCCAGACGACCAGAATAGAGTATTTCTAGGCTTCAAGAATAGAATCTTTGAACAACGAATCCGACGAATTCTATACCAAACCTATACCAAAACGCCCCCCCGAGAACCTCCCTCTCGAGAAGATGAATGGACGAAATTTCGAGGACGTCTCGAGCGAGAGCGCGATTTTTGAAGATACGAAGATGTTCAGAGGCTCAAAAAAAGCCAACTGTCTCGCGCGAGAGCGCACTTTTGGATATTTTATAAAGTCCGGAAAAAAGTGATTTTTTGAAGACGTCTCGAGCGGGAGTGCGATTTTTGAAAATCAGGGGTCGTCCAGTTCGTTTCGAACCCCCCCCTGGCAAGACTACTTTAAACGCAATCTGGCCTCTCAGCTGGATCCATCATGGATATCAAAACATTCACTTTTTTGAGGACAGCGAGAGCGCGATTCATTAAACAACCGGAGCGCGTCCAACATGTTTGCGCGACGGAAGAGCACGCTGCGGGTGCCGGGCGACGACACATCTAAATAATGAGAACCCCACACTAGATGTGGGGGAAAAATATAGAAATGAGAATATTAGGAATAATTGTGAGGGATGTTTGCCATGCATTCTTGTCGTGCCTGCACGCTAGAATCACTTACGCATGAATTCAAAGGCTTCGCTATACCGCCATTACTCGTATTCGTTATTCAGTTTTCTTCTTCGTCATTGTATTTTTTCAAAATGTGTAACAAACACTCGGAGTATGTTGCGTGATCCATACACCCAGAGTATGTTATGCGATCCATGGAGCTATGTTAGATCATGGCTTGTTATGTAATTTTGCTGAGGAAGCTGCGATGCGTAGCTGAATGTATTGGCTACCTGCAGCATATTTTCCCTCATGCTTTGCTGATTCTATAGGCTGCCCCAAGCATGATACAAAGTTAGCAGAATGTGTCCTTCATGGGGGGGCAGGAAGCTAGATATCTGTATGTATACATATATGTATATATATATATATGCTGCCATGACTGACGCATCACCTTGGTAAAGGAATGTGTTCTGAGAGCGTCATGTGCCTTGAGCCTCCTTGCCTCGAATTAACGTGAAATTCAGAATGAACAAAGCAACTACAAACGCGAGTTATGGCGCTGGCCTCGAAGTTTCCATCTTCCGGCAGGTAGGGCAGGGAGCAAGTGATAACCTGCGCTGGAACCTGCTGATTGCTTCCTGGTGCAACCAGCGGTTTTCTCAAGTTTCAAAGGAAAAGGCCGCAGCAGGGGCTGCCGTATAGATTTTTTTGGGGTTCACTCTTTGCGCATTGGACGCTACTAGTGACAGAAGTGCGCCAGACTTCATCCAAATTCTTGTTTCTAACGGGCTTCATTGAACATGCTTGGAATCCCTAACTCGAGCTTGCAGAGCTTGCAGAGGGGAAGGACAAACAATAAAGTTGATAGCTCCGACATGAGGTCCCGCATGCCCCCGCATGGCACCTTGGAACTCTTAGTTCGCACGAGGGAAAAGTGGGGTTTAGGGTACCATTGGAGTGATATTGGGGTAATATACGGATAATGGAAAAGAAAATGGAAACTACTATTTAGGGGTTAGGGTTTAGGGTATATAGTGTACCCTGAAACCACTGGCCAAAGAGAACATGTGGCAGCAATGCAGCTGATAAGGATCTGCCTTGTCCATATGGGTAATGACTCGCACTAGGTCGCAAGGGTCACTAGCGGAAGTCATTCAAATAAAGCAAAGCCATGATGATGTCAGCCTGGCATGAGATATGGACCATGGTGTAGGTGAGCACGCACAGCCCGATACTTTCCCATGGCACGGGATCCATCTTATTGGATCACTGTAAATGCTGGCTGCTAGATGCTGCTAGCTGCTGGCATGTGAAGTGACAAGCTTTATCAGGTGGGCCTGGTATGCCCTGGTATGCGTTGTGGATCAAGATCTTTCAACTTTGCTTTCAGGTTGCATAGGTTGCAGCATTTGCAACAGCGCGACTTGCGGACCTGCTGTGACCCACAAAGAGAAGCCATGTCTGTAGCCGCTGGCATGGCCATGCACGAAGCAGACGAATCAATTGCAGCACTCTTTGGGCTCCCTGTTTCCATCGAGGATCGCCCTTTCCGCTTCCCTTCCTCGCAGACGCCTTCCAAGCACAACAAAACGTCATATCTATGACTCCTGGGTAAGATAAGGCTGGTGCAAGCTGGCGCCAGCGCATTTCGATCTGATGCTGTGCCTGAGTGTGCAAGAGAATGTGGATGCATCGAAGATTCGAGAGATTTCGAGAGGCTGCGAGGCTGCTGCCCAACGCAAAGTGGGAGCCTCGACTTCGCTAAGTGAGCTCCTGGCATTTGGTGTAAGAGCTGGAAAAAGCAGAGCAAAGCAGAGCAGCGGGGCAAGCAGAGGTCTGTCACAGCTCTGGGTGTTTGGCGCGAAGGTCTCCGCGGGCCCAAAGCCATCCCGGGTCAAAGCCTGAACGGCCTCAGCAAAGGGGCTTTGAACGGGTTCTGAAGTCTGGAATCACTTCTTTTCTTTGAGCTGGCCTGCTCGCAGGCTTGCTCTTTGAGCTGCTCCGAAAGCCGCTCGCTCCGCGCCTTTTTTTGTTTGGAAATGCAAAAATGTTCAAATTGTTTTCGCTTGGCTTTGTTTTTTCCCTTCCTCGGGGCCTGGCCAGTCTTGTTTCTGCCTCCTGCTTGCGCGAGTGGAGCTCCTACGAGCTTCAGCTGTCACCGGCTCTGACGGGGGAAGTGTTTAAACGGTTCAAACCAAAATTGTTATAGACAGAATGTTTGAACACATGCCAAATGTGGCCCGAACATGTTTAAACGGTTTAAACGAATCTGTTCAAACATGCGGGCGGCATACGTTTAAAAAAATTGTGTTCAGACGTTTGAGTATGGGACCAAGGCACAGTCCTAGTGGGGTTGCACAATTACCTTTTAGCACGTTTAAGCACATGATGTGTTCAAACACATGCCTCCCACAAGGTCTATAGGGCCTCCCGAATGGCCCCCCTCCCAGCAGCAAGCAGTGGCTAACCCCGCAT